AATTTTCAGCAGGGGGGTGAACTGAAATGAACTGGTTCGAAGCCTTGATAAGAGCAGGCTTTACAAATGCAAGAGGCCTGGTTCCTGTGTGTCCCCTAAGTTGAGTCAGCCTATGGCATGTGCAGAACTGATGTTATCTCTGGTCTGTAAATATGTGACTTGACTTTCCCAAGGTCACACAGCTTGAAGGAGGCAAGCCTGCCTTCAGAACTGACGTCTGCAGAATCCTAGGAAATGCTCTTGTTACTGGAACCTCTCTTGTTTTAAATGGAGATTTTGGCTTTTGTAAAGCACCAGCACATACTTGATGAGCAACAGTGGGTCATGTGATTATTGTCAGTGTTGCCGTCTTCATAGGCATGATCGTTGGCTACTCACACATAATTTTAGGGTGCGAAGAACTCCACGACTCGGTGAGACTCCAGACTCTTGCAAGTGGTAGAAACAATGGTTTCCTCTCTTCCTACACCTTCAGAGCCTAAGATGCCCTAATGGGGGTTGCTTGAGCAAGGTTTACATTTTCCTGAAGAGTGAAGCAAGTTGCCCATGTGCTATGTCAACAGAGATCTGTGTTACAACCAACTGGCAGGACAGCCACCCAGGGCCACATGGCACACTCCACAGAGCTCTGTGTAAGCTCCCATACTTTATTTACTGAGCAGTCGTTGTTGATGCCTGACTTCTGCAGGGGAACAGGGTTGCTTCTCTTCTAGCATCCACTTTGCCTCCACGTTGTAGGACACAACCTTTACTGTCAACACGGGTACTTTGTGTTGGCCCTAGCACTGGCCAGTTGCTTCAACCTTCTACCTAATGTCTTGGGATATTAGAAAACTTGGTGTGGGATTCTTTAATGGTGGGGGTCTAAGCCTAGTCTTCTAAAAAAAAATAATAATCTCCCAAGGAAGGTGTTAATGTTTCAACCCTGAGGCAGGTTAATTAATGACAAGAATATTGTTAATCATCTACACATTTATGCACTTGGCTCCTATTACGCACTTACTATATATTTGTTGCGTGACTTTCTAAAGCAGTGCTTCTCAACCTTTAGTGGACCTGCCATCTTTGGGATCACCTGCAGGGCTTGTTAAAACACAGCCCATTAGATCCCCATAGTTTCTGATTCAGTTGATCTGAAGAGACATCAAATAATTTGCATTTCTAACAAGTTCCAGCTGCTACTGATGCTGCTGCTGTGTAGGGATCCTATTTTGAAAAACACTGTTCTGATGCAAATATTAAGGGCTCAGGTGGTAGGTAGTCCCTAAAGCATGTGACTGCTAACCAGAAGGCTGGCAGTTCAAACCACCAGCCACTCCTTAGAAGGAAGACTAGGCAATCTACTTCTGTAGTGATACTACCTCAGAAACTCAAGGAGGAGTCGGATCTGACTCCACGGCAGTGGGTTTGGTTCTAGTTTCAGGTGGCACAAATGCTAACCAAATAGTTGGAGGCTCTGAACCCACTTAGTGGCTCAATGGGAGAAAGACCTGGCAATCAGCTTCTGTAATGATTGCAGCCCAGTAACATAGTCCACAAAGACAATGTTCTGGATCCTACTTTGGCGATTAGCAACTGGGCTTTTAAAAACGTGTGAGTGGCCACCTAGCTATCTAAGATGCAACTATTGATCTTTCCCCATCAGGAGCAAAGAAGAGTGAAGAAAATCAAAGACTCCTTTGAAAGGGATCACGATAAGAGGTCCCAGACAGAGTGGGGAAAAATGTGGAATAAAACTGAAAATGATTTAAAAAAAAAAAAAGACTTACTCGTCTGAGACTCATGGAACCCCTGAGGCTATGGTTCTTTAGCTAGGAACTAAATTTAACCCTTGTGACTCAACTGGCAGCCAAATGAAAGACAGACCTATAAGGTGTAGGTGAACAGTGATATCAGGAGGGTGTGTACTCATTAAGGAGCTCTGGTAGCATAGTGCCTAAGGCATTTGACTGCTAACCAGAAGGTTGGCGGTTCATACACCAGCCACTCCTCGGAAGGAAGGTTGGGCAATCTACTTCTGTAGTGATACTGCCTCAGAAACCCAAGGAGGGGTCGCTGAGTCAGGTCTGACTCTTCAGCAACAACAACGGCAACAACATGCACTCATTATAACAATCAAGCACGTGAGATCAAGAGGACAGCATTTGCCCAGGGACAGAGCTAGGAAGTTAGAAGGGGATGGGAATGAAGAAGAAAGGGAAGGGGTTGGTGTAGGGAAGAAGTGGGAAGAATGCTATTATATATGGGGATTGCAGTAAATATCACAAAACAGAATGCGTATGGATTGATGAATGGAAAACCAATTTGTTCTTTAAACGTTCACCCAAATCACAATAACAAAAATAAAAATAAAAAAAAGATTACAGCCTAGAAACCCCTGTGGGGTAATTCTGCACTGTCACGTGGGGATTGCTGTGTGTTGAAATCGACTCTACAGCACCTAATAACAACAAAGCAGAGATCAGCAAACATTTCCTTTAGAGGGCCAGAGAATAATTATTTTAGGCTGTGTGTGCCATAAGGTCTGTGTTGCAGCAGCTCAAATCTGCTGTTACTCATGAAAGCAGCCATGGGCAGTGTGTAAGTGAATAAGTATAAAACTTTATTTATAAAAACAGACAATGAAGTGTTTTAAAAAAAAACTATTTTATTACTGAAAATAAAAATAAGGTGTTAAGAGAGCCAAGTCCTCATTCTGGATTGATTTCGCTTACATGGAATCAGTGTTACAGACAATGAATAGTCCAGTTCTGGCTCGGTTAATAACACACCATGTGACTTTGGGAGGTCATTAACCTCTCTATAAAAATAGGATAGTAATTATACAGTGAAAAATACCGGGAAATGTTAACATTTATCAAGCCTGGGTGGTCTATACATGAGCATGAGCATTTGGGATACTGTTTTTTATGCTTTTCTGAATGATTAAATTACTCCAAAATTTTAGAATCTATATTTTTAAAAAGGTGATTCATTGGAGTACATGTGGCTTTGGTTTTAGATTCTAAAGTCAATCAAAATGTGAATCATCTTATTAAGTCAAAATTACCTTTGAAATCCCCTTGAAACACTGGGCCTATGCCCTGGAGAGGTCAGAAGCAAGGATATCCTTTGTGTTTCTTTGTATTTTGGATCCTGGGGAACAAGGTCAAGTTTGAATTGGAGAAGGAGATGGGAAACAGAAAGCGATCCTGAGTTGGTTCTGGAGATTTGTGTGTTTGCCAGCTTGTAACTGAATCAAAAGGAGCCCCAGTGGTACGATGGGTAAGCGCTCACATGCTAACAGGAAGGTCGGCAGTTCAAACCCCATGCTGCTCCTCAGGAGAAAAGACCTAGCGATCTACTCTCATCAGGATTACAGCCTAGGAAAGCCTCTGGGGAAGTTCTACTCTGTCATGTACGGTCGCTGTGAGTCAGAATGGACTCAGTGGCACACAACAACAGCAGCAACAGTTGAATTCAGGGGGTTGTTGTTATGTGCTGTCGAGTCGGACCCGACTCATAGTGACCCCTCCTTGGGTTTCCGAGACAGTATCACCAGGGAAGTATATTGCCCAACCTTCCTTGTGAGAAGTGGTTGGTGGGTTTGAACTGCCAGCCTTCTGGTTAGCAGTCAAGTGCCTTAGGCGCTAAGCTGTCAGAGCTCCCTTGAATTCAAGTAGCAGGATGCAATTCCACAGTACAGATGAGAATTTACTGCTGGAAGGATCCAGTGAGATAATGGACTTCAAGCTCTTGTCCCAGGCCTGCCACAGAGCAGATGCTCAGTAAAGTTAGAGAGGCGGAGGAGGGCACTGTCCTGCCCCACAAACCAGGAGATTGGCAGCCTCTTGCTGAAACACCGGGGTCTGTTTGCATGAACATTACCACATACAGTGTCACGTTCAAAATCAAGACATGAAGAAGTTCTGATCTCTCGTGGCTGGGAGCACAAATGGTTTCTTTCTACGTTTTGTGTTGAAATAAGGATCACTCTGTTGTGTCCTGGGTCCTACTTGCATTCTGGTTGAAGAAATGTTTACAGCACACTAAGGCATAGAAGGGAGCTCTGGTAGCATAGTGGCTAAGACACTTGCCTGCTAACCAGACGGCTGGCGGTTCAAACCCACCAGACACTCCTCGGAAGGAAGGTTGGGCAATCCTACTTCCGTAGTGATACTGCCTCGGAAACCCAAGGAGGGGTCGCTATGAGTCGGGGCCGACTCGACGGCACATAACAACAACAACAACAACAAGGCATAGAAGGAGTGTATTCTGCACGTGGTCTGAGTTTGTGTCATAACCAGTTGGAGAATTCCAGAGTCTTTGGACCTGTGCTTTTCCAAATTCCCCCTCCTCAAAGAACTCCCAGTGGCAGAGGTCAGGAGTTTGGGGGAGATGGAGCACAACTCCCCGGACCTGTGAACTTCTTCAAAGTCAACAGATATACTTTTTAAACACAGGTAAAATGTCTAGTGTACTTTATAATGCTTTCAAGCAGGCGTAATCTTTGAAGATCCCTACCACGGAATATAAGGCATGTTCCAGGGGAGTTGTCCTGCACTTTGCCTGTGGTTGTAAGTGACCTCTGACCTATCACCAATGGGAATTACTAAACTCAGCAAACACCCCTGGTTTTGTGCCTACTCTGTGTCACGGCCTGTGACTACATTGGGGCACTGGGGACATAGATACTGAGATGTCGAAGGCGTTGTGCTCACTCTCAGGGACACTGATCTCTATAGGTCCACAAGTGATAACTTTGGTGGAAACGCTGGTGTGTGCAAATTACACTCCGTAAAAAGAAGAAATGTGGGTATTTGTTACATGGTCCAGAATGGTCGGCATATTAAAACGTGGTGTGGCAGGAAGTCACTGCAACCCACTGTGAGAATAGTGCACAGCCTGGTACCATCCAGCCTTGACTTGGGAATGGACAGTGGTGGGACCAGAGCTTAGCTTAATTTAAAAACATGGTCCTTACATGGCTGGAGTGAATAATGTGCTCTTTCTCTCCGCAGGACCCAAGGAGCAAGCACAAGTTTAAAATCCACACCTACGGAAGCCCCACCTTCTGTGATCACTGTGGGTCATTGCTGTATGGACTTATCCACCAAGGGATGAAATGTGACAGTAAGTAAGTTTTCTTTCCCAATAGATGGGGACGCTCTGCAGGGAGCACTTACTACAACAACAACAACAAAAGCTCAGTAACTTTTCAACACCACCTCGTCAATATAGAAGAATTAGTCCAGATACATCAAGCTAAACAAGTGTAGAATCATTCCATTGTTCAAGTTCTGATTTGTTAAGTGGTTCAATTGCCTCATTATGAACCCCCACAAAGGTACCTACTTATAAATGAAGTTGGTGCTGTCACATTATTTTAGTGGTAGAAATCTTCAATCACCATAAAATCTAGGCTAGTCAAACCCCAAAGCAAGCACCTTCCCCAAGCGTTGAAAAAAGACTCCCCACCTCCACATTTCACATTTGGCTTCAGAATAAGCAAAGCAACCGTAGTCATTATCTTCCTCTACCTCTAATTAGTGGGTGGACTGTAGAAAAATCCAGCAAGCGCTCCTTAAAACTGAAACCAAAAAGAAAATAAAAAGCAGGACTGCATCTTCCGAAGGTCCCCCGTCCTGCATGTTTATGGACAGACACATGTTCTCAGCCATGGAGAGAGAAATTCCTGATGACCATAATGAGGAAGTCACTAGCACTTTCCACCCTCCCTGTTTGTTGTGTGAGTGTCTTCTTCAAATACCACAGGGAAAGAAAAACAATTACAGAAACGCTTTGCTCTGATGCTTCTTAAATTATGATTACTCAGGCTGTTAATTTTGTTTAAAGAATAGTATATGCTTTAGAACATGGAAAGGTAACTACCAGCCCTACTTCTCTAATAGGAAAGACTTAAGGAAATGACATCATTCCCTAATGACTACCGTTAGGACAAAAATCTTTATATCTGAATCCTACATGGAGCAAATGTCATAAACACACATACAGCCATACCTCTTTTTATTGCACTTTACTTTACTGTGCTTCATGAATCCTGCTTTTTTTTTTTACAAATTGAACATTTGTGGAAACCCTGCATTGAGCCAAGTCTATTGGTGCCATTTTTCCAACAGTATGTGCTCACTTTTTGTCTTTGTGTCCTATTTTGGTAATTCTCACAAAAATCTCAAACATTGTCATAATGCTGTTGCACACTTAAAAGACTACAGAATAGTGTAAATGTGACTTTTATATGCACTGGGAAACAAAAAATTCATGTGACTCACTTTACTGTGATACTTGCTTTATTGCAGTGGTCTGGAACTGAACCCACAGTGTCTCAAGGTCTGCCTGCACACACAAAAGCCAAGATATGTGGGCATTGTAGGGGAGATGGATTGTTGTTGTTGGCTGCCATTGTCGAGTGGCCCCTGACTCAGGGTGACCCCCATGCACAGTGGAACGTGCACAGGCCCAGTCCTGCGCCATCCCCATGGTGGGAGCAGATGGGCCCGTTGTGGTCCACAGGGTTTTCATTGACTGGCTTGTGGAAGTAGGTCTCCAGGCCTTTCTTCCTAGTCCATCTTAGTCTGGAAGCTCCACTGAAACCGGTTCAGCATCATAGCAATACACATGCCCCACTGACAGATGGGTGGTGGCTCCACAAGAGGTGCCCTGGCCAGGAATCAAACATGAGTGTCTCCCATGGAAGGCAAGAATCTTCACCTTATAAAGTTAGTAGCCTAATGATACGTTTGTGATCCTTCAGGCCAGTAGCCATGGGTGATTCAAGAAACCTTAGGATTGCAAGCATGCTTTTCAGGGATCCTGCAAATGCTGATTCTAAATACATTTATAAATGTTTTAACTGTTAGGAAATTTGGAACCAAATTAAACGCTCAAATGTGTAACATCCTAAGCCTTACACCTCTGAGATCGCATGGTAGACCTGTGTGGCCAGCTCCACTCCTTGGGCAGAACTTGCAGCTGTCCACCTAGCTGCACAGCCCACTGCGATTTGAAGCTGTTCCACCCTACTCCACGTTACTCTTCTGTGTGAATCAGGATTTTTAGATTCTGTGCAACTTTAACAAAATACAGAAAGAAATGAGATGGTGAGGCTGGTCTAAGGCTAGCATCCCTCACAGCTGCTTCCAAACAGCTGTTTTGTCAAAGGGCTCTACTGGTTATCCTTGAATGTCTTTGTAATGAATAAATGGTATAAATTTCAATTTAAAACTCGGTTTATGCCAATAAAATAATATTCATCTGGTTTCTATCTTAAAATTCTGCTTTAGATTTTATTTGAAGAGAGGGTTCATTACAAAAAAAAAAATGGAAAACCATTGGGCTGGGCCAGTGCATTTTGTTTTGTTTTATACTCTATTCCTTAGAGTGCCAGGGCTTCTGGGGCCACTGCCTGTGTTCCTTCCTGGAAGGAGGAGGCCAGAAAGCAGGTGGCAACAGCACCCCAACCCCTCGCTTAACATCTCCAGCAAAGCTTCTCCTGCCCCCTTACGTACCCAGCTGTTGTTGACTCAAATCACTTCTGACTCTTGGTGACCCAACCTGTGTCAGAATAGAGCTGTGCTCTGTGGCGTTTTCATGGCCAGTGTGTCACAAATACATTGTGAGGCCCGTTTTCCAAGGTGCACCTCTGGGTGGACTCGGACTCCCAGCCTTTCAGGTGGCAACCAAGTGCATTCACCACTTACACCATCCACGGACTGGCCTGGCTTGTTCATATCAGTTCCATATACAACTTCATTTGGGGGAGTGGGGAATGTTGTAGCGGACCATTTGCCTGGATCAACTGCTTCTTTTGCAGAGCGGGAAATAGAATCTGAGAGGGCAAATGAGCTTCCCAAAATATACAAGTTAATGGTGGTGCCAAACCAAGAATACCATCCAGCACTTCTACCTCTCCCACCCTCACTGTTTCCCATATCCTTTTGAAAGGCTCTGGCATTTATTTCCTTTAAATTGCAAATTCTGCCTGGGCACATGAAAGGTACGATTTGGCTAGCTCAAGTTATAAGGTGTCCTGGTGGCACAGTGGTTAAGAGCTCAGCTCTTAACCAAGAGCCCAGTGGCTGTGTGTGTGTGTGTGTGTGTGTGGTGGTGGTGGTGGGCGGGGGGACTTGGCAGTCTGTTCCCATCAAGATTATAGTCTAGGAAACCATATGGGACAGTTCTGTTGGTCTTATAGGGTCACTACAGGCCATAATCAAATCAATGGCCCAACAAGGACAACTCAATTTATATTTGTAACACAGCTTTCAAATGCCTGTCTGTTGGTTGAATGAAGGTACATGGTTTTGAACAGTTAGCTTTGGAAACAGAAACATAAACAGAATCCACATTTGTGGGTCAGCTAATTGATCTTCCTTCATTGCATCTTTTGCCCTGCTTAGTGCCTAATGGTAGCAAGTGTGCGTTGTTCGTGACGCTTTTCACAATTTGCCCTGTTAACATTAAGCACTCAAGTGAAACGAGCATGAATTCATCTTGAAGGTTGCAGAACACCTTTGTAGCCTCCTCTCAAGAAATCGGGAGGATGTAATGGCCATCTGTCCTTCTGAAAGCCTAAAGGAACAAGAACCGTGGGACCGGAGCACCTACACAGTCTTACATTTGCCCTCAGCATGCAGGATCCGTTTCAGGGTTTCTTTGGTTTGTTTCGATAATACTGATCTTTTTCTCTCCTCCCCCGTCTCTCCCACGTAATGTCAGCTAGCAAGGAGTGGCTTATCATGCCTGGCGTGTATTTGTTTCACTTAGAATAATATTTAAATATTTGAAGGCAGGTTTAAAATATCAAACACACATTCTTTCTTAAGATTAAAAAAACAAAGACAGTATACTTTAGCCTTCTCCAGAATACATGATTGGCTAAAGAAAGGAATATTTTATGAATTTCCTAGACTCAACCCACAGGTGTTCTCTTTCTCAGTGGTGAACTGAGAAAGGCATTAAAAAATTCTTGGGCAAAAAATATCCTGTTTAAATTTGCATGTTATTTGTGTTGATGTACATAAAATATTCATTCATCCGTGCTTTGTACACACTTACCTGTGTGAATTTTGTGTATCGTTAAATATTTGAAACAGTCACAGAAAACCAAGCAGGGATATTTTGCTTTGGTTAAGACTAGACAAATATGGTATGGCTATTTTAAGGATATTGTCACGCAGAGGAAGCCAGTGCTGTAAGGGACATCTGCCAACAGTTCTTTATGTCAGCAAAAACATTATAGCACATTATCAAATTAGGGGGGAGTGCGTTTTCACTTGTACTTGAACCAAAACGCCGAGGAAGGGATGGTTCACGCCCATACGCCCAGCCTCACCCTCTGCTTTCTTGATCACAGCCTGCGACATGAATGTTCACAAGCAGTGTGTCATCAACGTCCCTAGCCTCTGTGGGATGGATCACACGGAGAAGAGAGGGCGCATCTACCTGAAGGCCGAAGTCACTGACGAGAAGCTCCACGTCACAGGTAAGGCATGTGAGCTGAGGAGCCACACTCTCGGCGGACATTTCAGTGAAGGTCAGGCTGACGTCAAGGCACGGTGGGAGCTGTGCCAGGTGCCCTGAGGCCTTTCAAGGGCTGTTTGTCCTGGTGGACTCTTCACAGTTTTCAGTCTCAGAAACTTTGTCTTCCAGTGCCTCGGATCTGGTCAAACTCAGAGCCACTGACTCACATTAACGCATCTCCCAAGAGCCTAGTCTGTGCCCTGGAATTCCCAGATACTTGGTTACGATGTCATACAAAGTCATATTGGGGTACTCTGATGGCATGGCCAGTGCATGCTCCCCCAGATGGCAGGAGGCCTAAAGAAGCCAGTTAGTCAAAATGTTGGTGGTGAGAGTGGAACGAGGGAGGGGAGGCAGGTAGATGATTCAAAAGTTTAATGGCATCAGGCTGTGTTGGCCTGGCAAGACCGTTTCAATGCCAGCAATAGCAGCAGCCGTTTAGTGCTTACCCTGTGTCAAGCATGGTACTAAAAGTTTTACGTAGATTAATTCACTTAATCCTCACAGCCACCCAACTAGGGTAGCTCTTGACATTGGCCTCATTTCCAGAGGAGGGAACTGAGGCATAGAGAAGTTGTTGATGTTAGGTGCCGTTGGGTTGGTTCCGACCCCTAGCAACCCTGTGTGTAACAGAATGAAACTACCCGGTCCTGCACCATCCTCACAACCGTTGCTGTATTTGAGTCCATTGATGCAGCCCCTGTGTCTATCCATCTTGTTGGTTTTCCTCTTTTTCATTGACCCTCTTCTTTACCAAGCACAATGTCTCTCTCCAAGAACTGGTCCCTGCTGATAACATGGCCAGAGTATGAGAGATGAAGTCTCACCAACTTTGCTTCTAAGGAGCATCTGGCTGTCTTCCAAGACAGATTTATTCATTCTTCTGATAGTCCATGGCATACTCAATATTCTTTGACAGCACCATAATTCAGAGACTAATTCAGAGACATCAGTTTTTCTTCAGTCTTCCTTATTCATTGTCCAGCTTTTACATGCATATGAGACTACTGAAAATACCATAGCTTAGAACAGGGGCATCTTAGTCTTCAAAGTGATGTCTTTGTTCTTTAGCACTTTAAAAAGGTCTTTTGCAGCAGATTTACCCAGTGTAGTATGGCATTTGATTTCTTGACTGCTTCCATGAAGCAGAGAGATTAGTAACTTGCAGTGGCATGGAGTTAGTAAGTATGGAGCTGGGATTGGAACCAAGGCATTTTGACTCCAGAATGTGTACTTCCAATTATCACCCATGTGACCTCCTATAAATATACCCCTGCCATGGGATTGGATGCTTAGTTCATGGGTCAGGATACTCCCTCCTTGGGGCTTTGTCTATATGGGTTTGCCATAATGTGCCTTTTCCTTTGGATTTCCCACCACACCCTCTTGAGCTATACTGACATACTCAGTCCAGTTATCCTGAAGACTCACTGGCCTGGCCCATCCTGTATCCTCATAATGACTTGACTTACCTGTCAGCGACCCACTCCATGTGGACTTATGGTCTAACTCTCAGAAGTCAAACTACTTTCTACTCAGTTAGGGCTCCCTCACGTACCACCCATATATGCTTTTCTTTGTCAAGGTTGTTCATTTTCATTTGATCAGCAAAGTTACTGTATTTCCATTTGCACTTAGGACTGTTAAGCTATCAAGAAGAAGGAAAACTTTGCTTGAATGTCGGAGCCCTGGTGGCACAGTGGTTAGTGTTCTTGGCTGCGAACCAAAAGGTGGTCAGGTCAAACCTACCAGCTGCTCTATGATAGAAAGATGTGGTGGTCTGCTCTTATAAAGATTTATAGCCCAGTAAACCCTGTGGGAAGTTCTGCCATGTCCTACAGGCTTGCTATGAGTTGCAGTTGGCTTGATGGCAATGTTTTGGACTTTAATGTTATTTGGTTGTAAATGACAGAAGACATTATGGAGGAACGACTAGAAAAGTCTGTTTAAGAAAACAAAAAAAAAGTAAGTTCAGAGAAAGTTACTTTTGGAAACCAAACCAAAGCAAACCCACTGTCATTGAGTTGATTCCAATTCATAGCGAACCCCATTGGGTTTCCAATGTGGTAAATCTTTATGGAAGTAGATTGCCCAGTCTTCCTTCTGCAGAGTAACTGGTGGGTTTGAACTGCCAGCCTTCTGGTTAGCAGTCATATACCTTAGGCACTGTTCCACCAGAGCTCCTTACTTTTGGAAATATCCTTACACTTTCTTCTTTTAAAAAAAAAAAAAATTTCTAGCCTATGGTGTCCTCGTAGGTAAGAATTCAAGGAAAATCAAACACAGGATTTTGAGGTACACTCGGAGGAGCAAGGTAGTTGGTCTCTGGAGAACTTTACAAAACAAAGCAACTATAACTAACAGTCAAGATGAAGATGAGCCTGGAATCCCTGTCATGGACACAGCATCTCTATTGGCTTTTTGTACTTAGAAGAATCCATTTATTTTCTCAAAGCCGTTCCTCTTGCACCCATGCCTTTGAGGCTGTAGCTCTCACCTCCCTTCTATTAACTGTTGCTGTGGATGGAGCCTTTCCATTGACAGCCAGGGTCCCTCTGCCCAGAGGAAGTGGGGCACTCCCAATGTATATGTAAAGAGAGAGCGAGCAAACTAGCCTGTAACATCATCAGCCACCTTCACAGCTCCACATTCTTTCTCTCTCTTTTCTCGTAAGGCTCCTGGATTTTCAAAGCCACATGTTGGGAGCAGGGAACATACAGGATAGAAGAAAATTACCACAAAACAGTCTCAAGAGGGCACAAAGTGTTGAGAGCTGAAAATGAGAATTCCAGTTGGCTAGACGTTTCATTGTATTTCCTCAGCTTTATCCTAACATAATAGGCATCGTAACAGACATCATACGTGAATAAAACCAAAGCAAACCCATTACCATCCAGTCAAGTCCAACTCCTAGAGACCCTATAGGACAGGGTAGAACTGGCCCAAAGAGTTTCCAAGGCTGTAATGTTTAAGGGAGCAGACTGCCACATCGTTCTACCAAGGAGCAGCTGGTGGGTTCAAAGCACCAACAGGTCAGTTAGTAGCCCAGTGCCTAACCACTGTGCCACCAGGGCTCCTCCCAGGTGAATGCTCAGAATCGGTTATGGTGTTCACATGTGGTACCTCATGGCCCAGCTGCAGGGCAAGAATGTGAGGACAGAGGTCTTGAGCGTTCCATTGCAGTAGAACCAACCTTAAAGATATGGATAAAGCAAATCTTTAAGGATACCGATTTGCTGATGTGGCACAACTCAAATTGAAGAGAAGCAGCTGCAAATATCCGTTAATAATTGGAACATGGAATGTATAAAGTATGAATCTAGGAAAATTGGAAGTTTTCAAAAATGAAATGGAATGCATAAAAGCATTAGTGAGCTGAAATGGACTGGTTTTGGCCATTATGAATCAAACAACCATATGGTCTACTATGCCAGGAAAGACAATTTGAAGAGGAATGGCATGGCATTCATCATCACAAAGGATGTTTCAAGATCTGCCCTGAAGTACAGTGCTGTATGATAGGATAATAGCCATATGCATACAAGGAAGACCAGTTAATACTACTATTATTCAAATTTACGCACGAACCACCAAAGCCAAGATGAGGAAATTGAAGATTTTTATCAACATCTGCAGTCTGAAATTGACCGAACATGCAATCAGGATGTGTTAATTACCACTGGTAACTGGAATGCAAAAGTTGGAAACAAAGAAGAATCACTGGTAGATGGAAAATTTGGCCTTGGTGAGAGAAATAATGCTGGAGATCGCATGATAGAATTTTGTAAGACCAATGATTTATTCATTCCAAATACCTTTTTTCAACAACACAAATGGAACTGTACGCATGGACTTCACCAGATGGAGTACACAAGAATCAGATTGACTACATCTGTGGCAAGAGGTGATGGAAAAAGCTCAATATCTTCAGCCAAAACAAGGCCAGGAGCTGATTGTGAACAGACCATCAACTCCTCATTTGCAAGTTCAACTTGAAGTTGAAGACAATTAAAAGAAGTCAATGAAAGCCAAAATTTGATCTTGAATATATCCCTCCTGAATTTAGAGACCATCTAAAGAATAGATTTGATGCATTAAACACCAGTAACCGAAAACCAGAAGAATTGTCGGATGACATCAAGAACATCATACATGAAGAAAGCAAGAGGTCATTAAAAATACAAGAAAAAAAGAAAAGACCAAAATGGATGTCAGAGGAGACTCTGAAACTTGCCGTTGAGCAGAGAATAGCTAAAGCAAATGGAAGAAATGACAAGATAAAAGAGCTGAACAGAAGATTTCA